AAGATTAATCGTTGCCATTACAAAACAAAATCAAAATATACACACAAAGAGAGAGAGAGAGAGAGAGAGAGGGGTTTTGTAGCAATTTTTGTGGTTGATTATGAAAAGGAACACAAGAGGAGGCGGAGCTATATATATATATATGTATGTGGCAGAGGCGCAAAGCTTAGATCCTGTGCAAAGGCGCAAAGCTATGGATCTAGATCCTTCAACGAAGTTATGGATCTAGATCTTAGCAGAGGCGCAAAGCTTCAGTGATGGAGTGTTCTTGGAAGACAAGAGGTAAGAAGCTTCACTGTGCAAAGGTAGAAAAAAGTGATGAAAACAGGAGAGATGAAAAAAAAAATATATATATATATATATATATATATAAATATATCTCCAAACCACAAGTTTATCTATCTATGTTTATTTTCTCTCTGTGTTTTAGGAAAATTGGTTCTTTGGCTGTAAGTTCGGTTTGTAAAATTGTTCCGGCACTCTCGATGTATCCCAGAGAAATTCTCTAGATTTGAACTAAAATTTCTCTGGATTGAACTAAATATATATGTTGTCCAGGAGTACTTGATAATATGTAATCGTGAAAGGTCCAATTTTTAGCTCTGTATGTAATTGCATTTGTTTTAAATTATTTTGATTTTCTTTCTGGATTTTGAACTCTACTGTACTTGTGTGATGCATCATTGTAGTGAAAATGCAACATGAAATTGTTTTGCATCTGTTTTGTACTAGCCTTAATAATGTAATAAGTTTTGTGCTGATGCAAAGAGGTTGATTGGTAGAAGGTTCACTCCAGAGAAATTTGAAAATTTCTCTGACTTCACAGGCCTTCTCACAAAATTACCACTCCAGAGAAATTTGAAAATTTCTCTACAACCTCCTTCACTTGTGCATGTGTTAAGCACTGGACCAATTGACCTGCCAAAACCTGGGGCATAGACATATATGAATGAGAAAGTATGCAAACGGGACACCAACAAAATTGCAGCATAGATACAAGGGTGGGTGTGGGTTCTACACCACTTTGTTCTGTGAATTTTTACTGTATCCGTAGCAAAAATTGTTGAGAGATTATCCTTAATTATGTTGAGAATAATGGTAGGAGGTTCACTCCAGAGAAATTTGAAAATTTCTCTACAACCTCCTTCACTTGTGCATGTGTTAAGCACTGGACCAATCGACCTACCAAAACCTGGGGCATAGACATATATGAATGAGAAAGTATGCAAACGGGACACCAACAAAATTGCAGCATAGATACAAGGGTGGGTGTGGGTTCTACACCACTTTGTTCTGTGAATTTTTACTGTATCCGTAGCAAAAATTGTTGAGAGATTATCCTTAATTATGTTGAGAATAAGAGTGTAATCCAGAAGATCATTACATTTTTTAGAAATCTATTATCAATAATTCTGTATCATGGAATCCACCTACTAAACTCCAACACTAGCATGTGTTGAATTATGTAATGTCAGAGCATTTATTCTATGTTGGTCTGGCATTGCTTGAAAAATGTTGCTCTTCAAAAAAGTTTCTTTTTAATTAAAAAAATTCAGATATTTGTAACCCAAAGCTGTAGAAGATGCAAAAAACAGAGTAAAGAGTCATAAAAGACCAAAATGCAAGTATGAATCATCTGAACAATAATCTAGAAGAAAGACATTGAGATTGTATCAGTTGAAACACAAAACTAAAAGATCTATTGGAACTGTAGCTGTAACTACATTTGTGTACAAACATCTCAAGTTTTTTATCGTTAACATTACAAGAAATTGGAATCATTTGATTGCCATTAACCAGAGGTATTTTCCAGTCTCTGATAAGCCAGAGAAATACTCAGATTTTTCCAGAATTTCTCTGGTGCTGGTAAGTTGTCATTGTTATCCCATTCTAATGTTGCTTACATATTACAATGTGGAATTTTTCCAGTTGAATTTAGTTGAACAATGTTGCTTACCTAATGAATCATAATGATTTGGATGTGAATGAGAAGAAAAGTAGAGAAACTCATCCAGAGAAATTTGGTCCAGAGAAATTTCTCTGGGCCAGAATTTCTCTGACCAATTTTCTCTACACTGAAATTTCTCTGGACTGAAATTTCTTTGGGCCAAATTTCTCTGGACCAATTTTCTCTGGACTGAAATTTCTCTGGATCAAGGTTGAGGGACCTTAGATATTATGAAAATATTGTTGAGGAACCTTAGACATTATGAAAATATTTGGTGTCCTTTATGCTATAAAATCATAATACCAGGGACCTTAAAAAAAAACTCCCATTTTTTTAAGCATATATAATCATCCTTCTCTTTCTTTTTGAAAGGTGATATTTGATTCTTTTTTTTTTCTGATTATAAAAAAATATATATATTTACATGTTCTCAAACATCTACTTACTACCAACAGGGAATTGGTTTAGTGGATAAAACTTTCGAATCTCTCGCTCAAAGCTTGGGTTCGAATCTCCATTACCCCTTGTTAGGGTTAAACATACTTCTTAACGCCTGACGTAGGTGCGGTGGGGGATTAAACATACTTCTTAGTGCCTGGCATGCATTAAACATACTTTTTAGTGCCTGACGTGACATGCATTAAACATACTTTTTAGTGCCTGACGTAGGTGTAGGGATTAAACATACTTTTTAGTGCCTGACGTAGGTATAGTGGGATTCCCTGCAGATATGCTGTAGATGCTAAGGGGTAATACTCTTACCACCAAGGCACCAGTGGAGCTCATCAACCGCCCCAGCCATGGATGGAAAATCCAGGATTTTCGCGCCTTCCAGAAATCGAACTTCACTCATGACTGTGAGAAGACAATGCCTTCACCACTGGGCCACCACCCTTAGTGGTGGAGTAGCCTATCTACATATTCATTTATTGAATAAAAAAAAACAACTACTTACTATTTTCATCCATCATTCTCATTTACCACTTCCATAATAATCCTAGTGAAAAACATTATCCTCAATTTATTTTTAGGGTTGGTTTGGCATATTTGAAAAAAAATTAAAAGTCAATTTCTTATTTAAATCGCATCATCTTATTTAAGTCGCATCACCTCTCTAACCTATCACTTCAAATCCAATTCAAATCTAACTCATATTTCATAAAAAGTCAAAAAATACAATCATCCCAAACAATCCCTAATTTTTAGAGAGAACTCTATTTATAGTTATCCCAATGTATGTGTTGATTTTTATAGTCGTCGAAGGAAAATCACATGTTGATAGCCGTTGGATCGCCTTTAGACCCTTCCATCTCATCCGAACCCTAAACCTAAATCTAAACCCTAAACCCTTCCAGACCCTTCGTGTTTTCTCTCTCTCCATCTCAGATCCTTCTCCTCTCTCTCTCTCTGTGTTTTTCGGCCTCTCTGTCTCTGTTAGCTTCCATCTCTGCTGTTCCATCTTTATCTCTACCGATCGTCCCTGCCTCTCTCTTCCCTCTGTCTTATCTCTCTCTAAACCCTAAATTCTAAACACTTTGGATCTCTATCTTCGATCCATCTGAGAAACCCGAAACCCTTGAAATCGACTCCTTCACATCGTCTTTCTGATGGAGAAGATCAAGACGAAGCACAAACAAACCGTAAGACGAAGCAGATGAAGCCGAAACTCCTAAACCACACACAAACCCTAAGACGAAGCTTGAGATTGCTGAAATCCATCACGCATCTTGAAATCCAGGTATTTTTTCTGAAATTTTCTTTCTGATGATGGAGAATTGCTTACAATTTGCTTCAAATCGCTTGAGATTGCTTGAAATCTGTTTGAAAGTTTTTTATTATTGTTGTTATTTTTAGTCTGTTTGTTTGTTGTTTTGGTGAATTTTGTTAAAAAATATTATTTTCTGTTCGGGGGAATTTTTGCTGGGAAAGGATGAGGGAGGGAAGGAAAGCAGTTGGGGATGATGATGATCTTTGGAATGCCCAGGCTTGTGCTAAATTTGGGATGATGATGATCTCTCACATTGAATCCTATTTCTTATTGTTTTATTATTTATAAAGGGTTTAATTTATTTGTAAATCTTTTCATGATATTGACATATGGAATTTTTTCTCGTCTAGGATTTGAAATTTTGTGAAGTGAAAGATAAGAAAAGAAAATGAAGTGAAAAACTCTTTGCCAAATCCAAAATCCTAGGAACAATTTTGCGAAACAAAGATGATATTTACAGCAAGTTGTGTGTGTAGGTTCAATAGTTGCAAGTAATTCACTTAGATCTCGGGGTTTCCACCTTCTTTATTTTTATTTTTTTTATTTTTTATTTTTGCAGTTGAACAGAGTAAAAGACAATGATAAAAAGGAGATTCTATAGGCATGAACATGGAGATAGAAATAGTGACTCTGATTCTTCTTCATCTTCTTCAGACTCTGAACTAGAGGCGGAAGCCGCTGAAGAAACAGAGGCAGAGGATGATGTTGCAGAAGTTAAAGAATACCGCCAATCTCACTCTTCTTTCTCTGGTTTGTTTATCCTTACTTTTGTTCTTGATGTTCAACATTTTTTTTTTTGCTTGTTCTGTTGCTTTGCTTTGTTGCACAGGATTGAATCTTGATAAATTTCTTCTCTCTCTCTCTCTCTCTCTCTCTCTCTCTTTTTTCTTGTTAGTTATATTAAGGTTGTGTTTGGATTATCCTTTCCAAATCCCTATCCAAATCTATGATCCAAACACAACCTAATTAAATGGTAGTAGGAAATTTCTATGTTGATATTCGCATAACTTTTCATTGGTATGGCTTGACCATGTACATTTGTTTATTTCATTGAGTATTTGAGAATCTGTTCCTCTTTTGTTCTTTTCAAACATTTCAGCTATGTCATCATCTCTAAAAATTATCTTGGACATTACATTCATTTCTACATGGGTTGTAGATTATTTCAGATTTGAGCAATGGGGATGTTTCTAGATATCTTCATTATCTTACCTCAAACACAGACATACACACAAAAAAAAAGGCACAAAATTCTTATTGAATGAATATTGTGTTTTTCAGGATACAAGAGTGAGGATAGCACCTCGGCAAATGAAGTTGATGTTGACTCATCAGAGTAGGTGGTGGTAGGTGATGGTAAATGGGTGGTAGGTGATGTAAATTTTAACAGAAAGGGACTACTCAGGTTGGTCTGTGAAATACCATGTCGATCTTGATCCAGTAGGAATTGCATTTCCTGAGATGATGCACCTAATAGATCTTGATGATTACTCATATGTTGTACTCACAATTGTAAGGGGAGAAAAAGATGAGGACTCATTTATGGTGCTTCACGTACCTGGTAAGGTCATACGTTACAATCTCGTTGATAGAACTTTCAGGAAGATATGTGATGTTGATTATGAGGGTGTGCAAGATGGTTCTTTAAGATACTCCTGGTACGATGCTTTTCAGTACATCGAGTCACTCTCTAGTGTTTGACAATAGTTGTTGCTTTTAAAGCATTTCATTCACTTTTGTTGTTCTCATTCTTCTTCTTGTAGTTTGGGGTTTTGAAATCTTACAACATTTTTGTTGCAATAATGTGATTCAGGAAATGATTTTGATGTTTCTGAATTGAAGATATCACTGCCATTGGTTTTATTCATACCGTTGTTGAATTTTATGTTCTCAGAATATGGATGATCTTAATTAATTTCTCTTTTATTAGATGCTAGTGCCAACTAAGTGATACCTAAGTAAATGAAGCATAGCTTAAAAAGTAGGGGTGGGCGCGGGTCTGTTGCGGTCATGGAATCTCTAATCCGCCATCTGTTCGCCAATCCGGCAAATGTGGATTGAGCGGATTAGCGGTTTGGCGGATGGATGCGAATCAGTTTGGCGGTTTAAAATTTTATAAATTTTTAACATAATTCAACTTGTGCACTTCCTCAAAAAAAATAAAACAAATAAAAAAAATAAAGTATTACAATTAATGACTTAAAAAAATATTACAATCACTGCATGCCTCATCCAAAGCAAGAAAGTTTGAAACTTTAGAATATCGCAAGCACTGCATGCCTCATCCACATACTACAATTACAGCATGTCTCATCCACATAAAGTATTACAATCTGTGGTTCTTAAAATATAAAAACAATTCAAACCACCAAAACCATGAACAGAGCAGTAGTAGAGATTATGTCTCTGTATTGTTATATCTATATCTGTTTTTGAAAACAAAAACCAACCAGCATATATCATATTTTCTATTTATTATTTTTAGAGATAGATTTAAAAACAAAAAAAAAATATAGATAAATAATACATTTATTTTTTTCAATTCAAAAATGATATTCAAGTTGAAAACTTTTTTTCAACAAAATATTTAAACTCTTTTTTAATTGAAAACACAAACAGAATATTTAAACAAACTAAAAACACAAAGTCTTATAAATTACTAGGGGTGTTCGCGGTTTGCCGATTCGATTGCTGCCAAAGGAATCTCAAATCCGTCATCCGTCCGCCAAATTGGCAGATTGGAGAAAATCAATCTACAACCGTCCGCTCGTCATCATGCAACCGTCCAAAATGCGGCGGATCGGTTCGGTTCGGTCGATTTTGGCGGATCGATATACACTACAACAAAAAAGGCCTTTGGTTACAGACTAATTTTGTCTCCAAACATCATATTTTCGTCACTAAAGTGATCTGCGACCAAAAAAATTTGTCACCACGTTCGTGACCTATACGTCGTCACTGAAAGTACCTGGTGACGAAAAACAGTTTCGTCGCCTATTTTTTATTTTTGGCGACAAAATATTTTGTCGCTGAATGTTGAATTTTTCGTCCTCTATAACATCAATTTCGTTGCCAAAACTAAATAATATTTTATTTTAATTGTTTTTAGCAACGAAATATTTCGTCACCAAATAAATTTTAGTGACAAAAGTTTTCCTCACCAATGATATGGATTAATGTGACAAAAAAATTCGTCACTAAAATGAGTAGAAAAGAAAATTCTTCAATAACAAAAAATAGTCACCAAATATTTCAATTTAGCGACGAAATATTCAGCAAATGTGACGAAATTATTTGTTTCGTATTATATCATTAGTGACAAAATTATTCGTCATGTTTTTTGAAAACTAATAGTGACATTTTTTATTTCGTCACTAATAAAAATTAAAAAAATTGAAAATGGAAGTACTATTTTCTTTCGAAATTTTTTCTTTTCAGTAACAATTCCCTACGCATTTCAATAACATGTTCAATAAAATATCTATTACAAATCAATACAAAAATCTATTCATTTTCATAAACATCACAATCGAATTTCAGCACTATCCACAAAAATACAATATGAACTGCATGCGGATTATAAACATGTCTCATAATATCCACAAACAACGTCTACTAATATCCACAAAAATATCATATCAACCGCATGCGAATTACCAAACACATCTCCTAATATCCAACAACAAAACATGTCTACTAATATCAACAAAAATAAAATATCAAGGGCGGATTACCTAACATGCCCTGTAATACCAACAAAAATATAAAATTTACAATGCAACTAAAATACATGTAAGGTAATATGAACAAAAACACAAAATGAGCTACTATCTGCCCTCCAAATTACCAAACATATCTGTATCAAATCTCGAATCTGCAAAAAAATGAAACACAAAAAACCAAAAAAAATGCAAGTTAGACAATTATTATCTTATCCATAAAATATACAATTTAACATTCATTTTTCGAATTAGTTTTCAAATTGGGAGTCCGGTGCAAGTTCCGTAAGTTTCCACAACTTACATTGGTCCCTCCCGACGTGATTGAGGTGTTCCTCGGGCCGTCTCATGCCTGTTACACGATTTTGACCCCCGAATGTCTATTTTCAAGCTTAAGTGTGAAAAAGTGTAATTTTAGACTCAGTTTCAAACCGGGAGTCCCGTGCTAGTTCCGTAAGTTTTCAAAACTCACATTGGTCTCTCCCGAAGTGTTTGAGGTGTTTCCCGGACCATCTCGTGGAGGCTTTTCCCAATATAAGCCCTTTTTCCATTGTATTTCCAAAACTAGGCCAACTTCTGACGGAATTCCAAAACTAAGTTAAAGCGCCATTACTATTCGCGCTTTTACTGTTAGGAGTGTAAAAGTAGATGAACAGGAAAATCGCTATTACAAATAGCGACTTTGTGATTAAGAAGTCGCTGTTACATAGCGCTTCTAGCGTTAGTTTTTGTCGCGATAAAAAACGCTTTTTCTTAACAGCGCTTTTTACAAAATTTCCTAAAAACGCTATTTCTATAGCGATTTTTAACAAAAAAATTTTCGAGAAAAAACGCTATCTCTAATAGCGATTTCAGTTCAAATTTAAAAAACGCTATTGCTAATAGCGATTTTAGCAGAAATTTTTTTTTTTTCGCGCCAGCGTTTTTAACATAAACTTTGTTAGAATAAAACGCTATTTTTCAAAAGATAAAACAAAGAAAAAAACATAAAACATATTTTAAAAATATATTTACACTGTATATTTTAGTACTTGACTAAAGCAATTATCATGTTAAAATATGTTTTTTTTTTCTTTTGTTTTTGTTTAGAATGTGTAATTCATAATTTTACATAATATTACATACTATTTTTTCATATTATATAATTTCAAAATCATATTCATGTAGATATTATTAAGCCAATCATGTTCATTTATTTGGCTTTAACTGAAGCCGTTGTCATGTTACATTTTTCATTTTTTCTTTTGTCTTGTTTTGATTTAGAAAATGTAAATTAAAAAATTTTTTCGTCTTCACTAAAGTTGTTTTCATGTAAATATTTTTTTTTGCTTATTGTTTTGTGTAATTAATTATTTTTTTTTCGCTTTACTAAAGTCGTTTTCATGTAATTTTTTTTTTTCTTTTTTGTCTTTGTTTTGGGTTGGAAGGTGTTATGTAGAAAATTATTTTGGCTTTACGAAAGCCGTTTTCATTTAAACATAAATATTATATTTATTCTTTTTGTTTGGGTTAGAATGTGAGAATGTAATTCAGAAAATCAGTTTAGTAAACCAGTTTAGTAAAACCGTTTTGTACCCGTTTTCATTTATAAAATTTATTTTTTTGTATCGTCTTTGTTATGGGTTAGAATGTGATATGCATGCTGTACAGTTCGAAGCAACACCACACACTGTGCAACTCGACGAGCAACGACGAAGGGTGAGACGCGAAGACCACCGCGGAGTAGGCCAAGAAGACAAAGGCCACAGCGAGAGCTCCTAAAATATAATTTTCTCAACATTTTTGTAATAATACTTAATACATAATATACGAAGTCAGTATATTACAAAATACCTCATACGGGTAGAAAACAACATAACTGAAGTTGCAAATGTAATAGTTTTCAGTTACGTAGCTAGTACAGACATAATCTCCACAAAAATACATTATGGACACAATGAACTGAACACACATTACATACATCCTGGACACTCTTAACTGAACACACAATAACATAAACATAACAGTTAGATAGACAAACACCTAATTCATGACCTAATATTGCATATTAATAGCCGTAACATTTGACAAGACACAATACATAACATAAACTTAAACATAAAACATAAACATAACATAACAGTTATACTTACTCCTAACACAGACATTACATATTAATGCAAGTTGTTATAATTGCCGAAGTGTAGACATTAACACCTAATTCGCGCTTAAATCGGCAGGTGGCTCAGAGTCTGAACAATCCGAAAGCTCAGCGTCAGAGACAAGTTCAGGATCCTCCATGATAGCCTTGATAGCCGCAACATTTGGTCTGTTTTGTTCTTTCTGGGCATCCTTCTTAAGTTGAGTTGCTGCATATCGCGGCCAATCTACGAAACATTTAGAAATCTCACGTTCTAGTGTTTGAACATAGTCGATCAACATTATCAGGATCTTCCTTTTGGATCTCACAGAACGTGCTTTTGGCACCTTCAGTCCTCTTTCCCGACATAATCTTTCGTTTTGCACTCGCTC